ATGAAATGTTATACCCAAGTATCGTCCTTTTTTCGCTTTATCTTTTTTTGGCAATGCTCGCAAGTTCCAAACAACATTTACAAAGGCTCCAGATTTTTCTCCCTTAAGCGATCAATCCTTCAACAATTCAGAATCACCACTGAAATTTGCAATGAGCAACAGAGATGGATGTGGAGCTGCTGTGACGGGCTCATTTTTGCTACGTGGTGTTCCGCTCTTCTATTGGACGTATCGAAACGACTCAAAGAATTGCGTCGAAGAATATGGCTTCGGCAAGCGCTTTGATGGTGGTAACATTTTTCCAACACTTGAGGTGTGCAATAAATTATTAGCAAATGTTTGTTCAAACTATTTTTGGTCGCCGTCAAATGCCAATTCGATCGGGTTCCCTTCAGAATGCGCACATTGATTTGGAATGTGCTAATTTGATTTGATTTACTGAAGCAATGATAAGCAATGAGAAAGATATTCCGTGTTGTGAGATTGTTTCAGGATTGCGTACGTAAATGCTGTCCCGTAAGTTGTCGACCGGAGTGTTGCTCCAATCTTGTTGCTGCGGATGGATGGAATATTGCTCGATAATGTGATCACAGTATAGTTGATATCTGAAGTTTTGTTTGGATGTGTTCCTTTCAAATAAATGTTTGCGTTACTTCTCCATCAGCCCCATTCGTCGATCAGTAGTGTATTCGATCTGCAATTTGATTTTGTACGAGATGTGAATTTCATCTTAAACTATGTATGGAGGCCGAAAGCTGTGAAAGCATCGAATCAGAGATAATTGGAAGCTTACATGACAAGGTCTTGAAATTGTAAATACACTCGATAACATGCAGAAACTGGAATTGAATTCGTCCAACATCTTTCTCATCCATAATGTACGAAAAAATTTTCATAATTCAGCTTCACACGCAAAATCTCGGCAAATCTGGTATTTTCATAATAAGCTGAATGTAATTAGCACTTTGAATGGATCGGTTTTATGCAATCATGAGTTTTTTGCATGAATGTATGAACTGCAGAAGCTGGGAATGAGCAGTAATAGAATGGATTTGAAATTGCGGTTTCATTAATAACGGCTTGTCGATTGTGACAAAAATGCTTGGAAGGCACATTCTGACCGAATAACAAAACACTGAATTTGTGCATGGAATGCGTGAGCGCGTTTACAGATCAAGTGAGTTGTGAAAACACTCGCAGATCATTTTATCTGATTGTGAGTTGTACATAATTCATTTCGAGCCTCTGACTCTGAATGATCTAGCGATACATTTACACTCCTATTGGGACGAAGGTGTGTTCAGTCTCGTCTGGAGGTGCTGCTGCTTTGATTGATCAGTTGTTGGTTTTTGTAAGGTTGTGATCGGTATGCGGACTATACTTGACTGCAGCCAGTTTGCTTTTGAATGACTGGATGCACATTACAATTTTGTCCGATGCAAGCTTTAATTTGTCTAACCAGGAATTTTAATTGGACTCTGACGACGAAAAATTATTTCAGTAAAACAGGAACGAATTGGAAGATATTTAGCAAATATTAGTAATCAATTCGGCGGACGGATTTCGTCATTCAGTGATGAACTGATGCAAGCTTTTAAGATCAAGCTGTGCACCTGACTGGGCGTAGTTTGATTGGAGGCACGCATTCTAAAGCGATTTAACTTGATGCATTAATTCGTGAAACCTGAAACGCAAAGCGTTTTTTCCGATTGCGAAAGCTTCCAAAATCCTCCGCGTGAAAGGAGAGCAACCGGAGAGTAATGTTTAAAAGTGTGTTACTGTGAAGATCGAGTGTGAAATGCTACAATGACACAAATTAATTGTGTAATGCGTTCACTAAAATGTTGCTTACTTAATGTTCAGAGTATTGTTGAACGGGATCGCAATGTTAATTTGGCTGATCGTTTGCCAGTCTTTGATTTTTGGTGCTCCAATTCAAGCACTACACATCGAGCAGACGACTTCTTACTATTCGCTTCATTTGGGAAGTAACGAAAATGGAGACGATTCCGCGAGCATAGGTCAGTGTTCATTCTGCTCTCACTTCATCTTCCTGCTGATCACAACTTAATGCG